TCCTCCAAGAGACTTCTTCAGTCTGATGAGTTTCAGGTGAAACTCAGCCTTATAAGCACTGCCTCCTAAGTCAGGTGATGGGGCACATGACCCTCTATGAACAATAGAGCTAATCAAGCCTATTGTTAGGCGATGGCCCTCTTTTGCATGTGACTAACCTGTTTGTCCATGTGGAGGCAGTGCTTATAAGGCTGAGTTTCACCTGAAACTCATCAGACTGAAGAAGTCTCTTGGAGGAGAGACGAAACGTTTCACTAAAGAAGAACTCATCCAGAGGACATACTTATTTTTTCTTTTTGATTTTTTTTTCTACCTGTATTACTGAGATGCATCAGGAAATTTTGAGCTATACATGTTAAATTCAACTTGTATTCACTGAACGTAAACAAGRTGAAAATGGTACATTTTTACATTTCATGTGTTGCCTTTTAACATAAAAAGGTGAAAGCAATAYATGCTTTATTTAAACTGTCTTGAATATTTTTTTAGTTTTTACCGAGCAACATCCAGAGAGGAAAATAATCATTTGAACACCCTGCGACTTTGCAAGTTCCCCCACTTAGAAATAAAATAAATTATTTTAAAAAAATCATACATTGTGATTTCCTGATTTTTATTTTAAATTTTGTCTCTCACAGTGGACGTGCACCTAAGATGAAAAATTCAGACGCCTCCATGATTTCTAAGTGGGAGAACTTACAAAGTGGCAGAGTGTTCCTCTCTGTAGTTCTCTTTCTAAATGTTATGAACTGATCCTACCTCCTCCCTGAGTCTGACCCTCTGGCCTGTTCTGTAGGAGCAGATCAGAGATGAGCTGGCAGAACAGAAAGAACGACAGAGCGAAGTGAGGAACTTCATCAAAGCTTGTAGAGTGATGGAGCAGAGGGTCTCTGAGGACATCCAGGCTGTCAGGACTCACCTGGAGAAATATGGATACCAGGCTCCCTGTGACGCCCCCACACCAGGCAGTGAGTGATTTAAAACAGCTTTCTTCTTAGATTCATCGTAGCTTTGGGATCAGCTGAAACCAGAAGATGGTCTTTCTCTTTCTCAGAGCTGAGAGATCAGGAAGCAGAGGCTGAAAGTAAAGAAGATAAGAGCAGCTCGACTGTGGGTGAAGAGGGAAAGCAGGAGGAGGACGAGGGGGTTCAGTGCTCGTCCCCTCCTCAGAACGAGGAGCAGCTCCCCACTGATGCGATGCGAACCCCTCAGCTCTCAGATTTCGGTCTGTCTGTCATGCAGCTGAAGAGATCTTTAGCTGCTGCAGAGTGGTCCTCTGAGGTTCCCCCCATGCCCGAGCTCAACCTGYCCTTACTCAAAACACCGGTCCCACCCACCATGGCCATGACTCCTAAACGGGCCCTGCAGATGGACGAGGAGGAGCTTCAGATGCCTCAGATGCACCACTTTGGCATCTTTGAGCAAACCATGTGTTTGAACAACGACTTCACGATGAATTTATTACTGAAAAAGTCTGAAAAGAGGTAAAGCGTTATTGCTCACTAATGGTTTAGCACACTTGTGTGTGTGTCAAGAATGTGAGGCCTTTAGTTACAAAGTGCCTTTAAGCTTGTTACTTTAATAGTCACATTATTGCTGCACATCTTTTTGTTTGTTTTGCTACGTGAGTGTTTTTCCTCTGCAGACCACAAGATCCAGCAGCACCAACAGTGACCTCAGAGGAGGAGAGTCTGCAGACTAAAGGTATAAAACCACTGAAGCCTTCTGTTTCCTCTCTCTATTTTGGAGCAGAAAGTTGTGTCATTGTTTTTAGATAATTTTTATGAATATTCCCTTTAATTCTTATGTTAGGGGTGGTTCTGTCACCTTTTCCTTCCCTGAGTTCTTGAACCGAGGTTAGATTCGTACTCAGATTAAATTGCCTTGATGGCAGGTTTTACAGCTCAGACTGAAGGGAATTCTTTTAAATTGATACTTTTAGGTCATTAGCAGAGATTAATTATTTTTAGAATAGGTGTCAATCAATAATCAGTCGTCTGTCAATGGTTTTAAGATGGATTTACAGGGCTCTAGAGTGTGACCAATTTGGTCGCAAATGCGACCTGATTTCCTAATAGTACGACAAAACAAATGTCCGGTCGCACTGGTGCGACCAATCGTTCGAGGGGGGGTGGGTTGGAGGGGGAGGGGGAGCGGTCGCCCGCTGAAAAAAAAGTTTCCATGTTCCATAAAAAAATAATCCAGCAGTATCAATGGTCGCCCAACGACAGTCTCATCTCTCCTAATAACACAGCACTCTGCTCGCGGCTCCGCTCCACACCTCCCGCACACACACGTTTGTTGTTCTATCCTCATGGGGACTTTGCATTGGCTTCCATTCATTTCCCGTCAGTTCTACAG